TCAGTGAGGCTGTGTGTGTGTGTGTGTGTGTGTGTGTGTGTGTGTGTGTGTGTGTGTGTTGAGACACCCACAAAAGGATGAAATAAATCCATGACTCTGGTTATGATATGCAGCTTACCAATCATCAAGATAACTTCTTACCTTGTAGTTCTCCTACAAGTAGAATATTCCATGTTATAGATAAGAATTTGTTGTTGGTGTTTTGTTTTGTTTTTAAATTATCCTTTATTTAGGGCTGAGCAAGTATACTTTAGGGATTTTGGCAATGGAGCAAATATTACTACCACAATGACAGACTCACTAAATAAAAGCAGTGTTAACTAAAATAAAAATCACTCAGCATTTGAATGTTCAGATATTTTAAAAATTTAGAGGAAAATCATGGCCATGCACACCCCCACCTCTGAAGATCCTGATTTAGGATTAGTGATGCCAACTGACTATATAAATTGAGAGGGAAAAAAAAAAGTTAAGGGCAAATGCAAAATTTAATACCTGACCTTTAATAACAGAAGGGCATTTAATAAGTGAGGGGAGTTCTATGGTGGCCTTCGCAAATGAATTACAAATGAGTTAGAAAACACTAAAAAAACACTCATCTGAAACGGACCAGCAACACCTAAGAACATTTCAAAAGATGAAGCGAAGTTATATCTAAGTATTTATCTAAAATGAGTAGAAGAAAAATAATTTATGAACGTGCACATAGGTCATGAATCTCAAATATAAGTAACAATGGATTGTAAACATTAAGTTATAAGCTCTAACATATTACTAATCTCATTATAAATACATTACTCATCATGTAATTCATTACAAATAAACATGTATCAAATGCACATGGATTTATTTCATTAAAAAACGAAGGGGATCCGTGTCTGTTTACTGCCATGTCATCTATGGCAATGGAACACAGTGACGTCTAGCTGTGTGGCCTGGGGTAACACCGGAGGCTCTCAGCCTCGGTTTCCACATCTGTAAACTGAAGGGCCTAGAATATGGGATTTCAGAGCTTCCTTCCGAACCTAAAATTCTGTTTTCCATGCATCACACCCACAATCAGAAAAGCAATTTACTCCGCACCTTTGGATGGCGACAGGCATGGATCTGAGTGCTGCGGTCTGTTGTGAGATGATGAAGAATGTCCGGCATGTTTCTAAACATGTCTAGTTTGTTCACGTGAACCTGAGCAAAATAAGACATACAAGCATATTATCTGAATTGTATTTCCTACTTAAAAAAAAAAACAAAACTGTTCAAGGGTGATGCTGCGAGGCAAATCATCCAGTTAGTGAAGTTTCTTCTTTCTTAAAACTTGGTTTTTGGAGGGGCACCTAGGATCGAGCCCCATGTCGGGCTCCCCCTCAGCACCAAGTCTGCATGTGCTGCTCCCCAAATAAAAGCTTTAAAACAAAACAAAAACCTAGTTAAGTAGCTATTTCAGTGCACACTGGTAATATGCCGGGATGTCAGGAGGCAAAGGACAGAAACCATATTCCCACCAGTCAGCATTAGTGCCGATAGGTGGTGGCACTAAAACATTCTGGAGACTCAGTTGGTGAGAACCTCGTTGAATCGTGCTAATACAATGGACCCCGAACAACACAGGGGTTGGGACGCCAACCCCCACACAGTCAAAAATCCCCATGACCTTCTACTCCCCAAGAATTTAAAAGCTAATAGCCCCCTTACCAATACCATAAACAGTCAACTGACACACATTCTGTTATGTATCACATACTGTATTCTTACAATGAAGCAAACTAAAAAAATGCTACTCAGAAAATCATAAGAGAAAATACACTTAGAGTATGCGCTGTTTTTCTTTTTTTACTGAAGTACAGTTGACCCACGAAGTTACATTAGTTTCAGGTGTACAACACAGTGATTGGACAACACTGTAACTCCCTAGGTTATGCTGTGCTCACAAGTGTGGCCACTATCTGTCACCACACAGTACTATATATGATACAATACTGTATTTATCAAAGAAAATCCACATATAAATGGACCCATGTGTGGGACGCCTGGATGGCTCAGTTGGTTAAGCGGCTGCCTTCGGCTCAGGTCATGATCCCAGCGTCCTGGGATCGAGTCCCACATCAGGCTCCTTGCTCGGCGGGGAAGCTGCTTCTCCCTCTGCCTCTGCCTGCCACTCTGTCTGCCTGTGCTCGCTCACTCTCTCTCCCTCTCTCTCTGACAAATAAATAAAATCTTTAATAAATAAATAAATAAATGGACCCATGTGGTTCAAACCCATGTTGTTCAAGGGTCAACTCTACTGTCCTTCAATCTGCCAAGAGTCATTCAATTCATATTTATTGTGCACCTGCTACAGGTCAAGTTTTATTCTAAATACTGGGTATACTGCAGTGAGTAACCAAGAATCACTGACTTGTGGAGACACACCCCCAACATGCCATATGAGTTAAGGGCAGTTTTAGGGGGAACACAGCTGGAGGAGGAAGCAGAGACCCAGACCGCCCCCCCTTACAACACACCCCTTTATGGGATTAAAAGGGGAAGGACAGATGCGGAGGTTGTGGGGGGAAGCTTAGCCACTTTAAAAAAAAATTTTTTTTTAAAGATTTTATTTATTTATTTGACAGAGATCACAAGTAAGCAGAGAGAGGAGGAAGCAGGTTCCCTGGTGAGCAGAAAGCCCAATGCGGGGCTCGATCCCAGGACCCTGGGATCATGACCGGAGCCAAAGGCAGAGGCTTAACCCACTGAGCCACCCAGGCACCCCCACTTTTAAAATTTTAAGGCTGATACATTTTAAATTGTTTAACCAGTGTATCCGTTTTAAAAGACTCTCTTCTTCAAAGTAAGTAACATGTACCTAAACTGATACTGGGACTGTGAAATAGCACAAATAAGAAGTATTCACTCTCGGGTGCCTGGGTGGCTCAGTGGGTTAGGCCTCTGCCTTCGGCTCAGGTCATGATCTCAGGGTCCTGGGATTGAGGCCTGCATAGGGCTCTCTGCTCAGCGGGGAGTCTGCTTCTCCCTCACTCTCTCTGCCTGCCTCTCTGCCTACTTGTGATTTCTGTCCATTTCAAATAAATAAATCTTTAAAAAAAAAAAAAAAGAAGTATTCTCTCTCATTTTGAAATCTGATTAACAGATTAGAATAATGTCAAATCGCTGTGGTAATTAATACCAAGACAAGAATAAAAAGAATCCAACATAACTGCTTCTTTATCCTGTGCCTTATTCCATTCATTCTGTTTACTAATGACTAGTAAGGAGTAACAACAAATTTGCTTTTCTGGACTCTCTAAGAAAATAAAAAGGGGTAAATTTTAAGGTGTACAGAGATACAGAAAGTTTTATCCTCAACAAAAATAAAGAAGCCTGAAAAAGTTGCCAGAGATCATCTCTGAGGTCCCTTAGTCAAAAACCTCCCTGTTGTCCCTTTTTAAATTCCTGATCTGAAATTGTTTGTATTCCCCGCAAAGGGATTCAAGGGCCTGAGAGAGGGCTCATGCCAGGGGGACTCTGAGGTCACAGGGTCAACCCCCAAGGCTGCTCTCCCCCAACCCCAGCCCTCCTCAGCCCAAGGTTCCTTCCTGCAAGGCCTTCCCAGATTTCACACACATGCGAGTATTTACAACGGGAATTTGGGACTGATAAGCAGCTGCTACCTTTGTACTTCACCAAGAGGACAGGAGGGAAAAAGCAGATAATAGAGATGTGTGTGTGTGTGTGTGTGTGTGTGTGTGTGTGTGTGTGTACGTAACCTATTATCACTGTGATTTTAATTTAAAAGGCCATTTTAACACCAAAAAAACCAGGAATGACAATCTCAGAATGAAAGCAAATCCTTCTCAAAAAGGAGAATTCACAACTTTATACCAATGTATTTTGACAGAGGGACCCAAGGAAGGAAAAAATTAAGGAAAGGAGGACAGAGGGAGTCAAGGCTTACAAAGGGAGGGGGGAAGAATTTTTTTAATTTCATATGCAGAAAAGCTAGATCTTTTTCATTTTACTGAATGACACTGACTTGGCACAAGTTTGCTGGATGGGGGATCAATGTTAAAAGGTACAAAACAGGGGCGCCTGGGTGGCTCAGTGGGTTAAAGCCTCTGCCTTCGGCTCAGGTCATGATCCCAGGGTCCTGGGATCGAGCCCCGCACCGGGCTCTCTGCTCAGTGGGGAGCCTGCTTCCTCCTCTCTCTCTTGCCTGCCTCTCTGCCTACTTGTGATCTCTCTCTGTCAAATAAATAAATTTTAAAAATCTTAAAAAAAAAAAAAAGGTACAAAACAGAGTGGAACTTAAATGTCTAACTCGCCCCAACACTGTTTTATTCAGGGTCATTGCCAGAACTCTGTCTTCTCTCAGGGGACAAGAGCAGGAGCCCCAGGCTCGGCCGCTCCGTCCAAGAGCCCAGCACGGAGCCCTGAGGAAGGGACGGGTGAAATAAAACTCCCTCCCAGCCTGCCCTGAAGCTTCTGAGCTCTAGGACAGCGGTTTCCACACACACTGCGGGACCAGGACCCGCAGTAAGAAATAGGTTTCCCAGCGCAACCCAGTGCACATACGTATACACGTATGTAAATGCACGTGTCTCATTCTCTATGCGAGCGGTCACAAAATGATAATTACTCGGATTACAAGCAATACACTCAGATCACTACATCTATTTTATGACCCCCCAGTCATAAAAAATACTTGAAAAAAAATACTTCCCCTACGGGACATTTCGCCACAGCCATTCCCAGCCACAGGGCCGCAGTTGGCTCCTCCCGTGAGGACATGAACAAACGGAGATGACCTCTCACTCCACAGGGGCTGCCAACCCCCGTCACACATGCCCTTTTTTTGTTTGTTTTTTGTTTTGTTTTGTTTTTTAAAGATTTTACTTATTTATTTGATCCAAGAGAGAAAGAGTGCAAAAGCAAGGAGTGAGGTGGAAGGAGAGGGAGAAGCAGGCTCCCCACTGAGCAGAGAGCCCGATGTGGGGCTCGATCCTAGGATCCTGAGATCCAGACCTGAGCTGAAGGCAGACGCTTAACCGACTGAGCTACCCAAGCCCCCAACCCACGCCTTTTCCTGGGCTGCTTCCCTCTGCTACTGCGGTTGGTTTTTGGGGGGCAGGGATGGGGAGGAAAGGAGAGGCTGGAAGGATGGAAGGAGCAACAGAAAAGCAAGAGCCATCACCGTACCTGGACTCCAAATTCTTCACTTAGGTTGGTGAACAGGTACTCGTACCCATAAGCTGCTTTGCAGTTAAGCCACACGACATGGTACGGACTCCGAGAGATCCAGCCTCGAACCAGCTCTACTATTCCACTCAGACACTCCTCCTGGGCAGGAATTTTAAAAGGCATTTAACACTTTTAAGAACATCACTCACCCTTTGCACTCCCAACAATCATGTTATTAATGCGAATTAATTATGGGACGATTATGATCTGACATGTTATTCTAGAAACTTCCTACTAGAAATAGACAGCCACACCCCAGTTACCATGCCCACTTCTCCGGGGAGACTTACTCGACTAGGAATCTGATAAAATTTTGGATCACAGAAAGTAGTATCCAAGTATACACTCTGGATGTCTTTCACTCTAGGGAAAAAAAAAAACAAAAACACAATAACAATTGGTGTCAACCATCTAATGTTAAATAAAATATACGTAAAGTTTAAATTCTCAGTAATCTTAGAGGGTGTTCTATTGAATTTTTGGAAATTTTTTGTTAAATCAACTTTTTTGGGAAATGATTTCCACACAATAAATTACACAGATTTTGTAAAGATGGTTCAGTGAATTTTGACAAATTCACGTAACTACTGCCCCCAATCAACATACAGAATGTCACCATCACCCCATTCCAAGAAGAAAATTTTGCTTTACAGTCACGAATATAACAAACTTCGATTTCAATTGAAACAAAGGCTTATATTTGGGAAGAAAGGAGCAGTAAAACTTTTTAGATGATTCAGTCCCCCATTCAAGAATTACATGAAGTCTGGGGCACCTGGGGGTCTCAGTCAGTTAAATACCTGACTTCTGATTTCCGCTCAGGTCATAATCTCAGGGTCATGAGATGGAGCCCCGTGTTGGGCTCTGTGCTGGGTGTGGAGTCTGTTTGGAATTCTCTCCTTCTCTCTCCCTCTGCCCTTTCCCCATTTCCCTGCTCATGCACACTCTCTCTCTCTGAAAGAAAGAAAGAAAGAAAGAAAGAGGAATTACATAAAGTCCAGTACCTGCCCCCAGAGTGCAGAAGCTCCATTCTAGCAGCTTCTCCCTTTGCCAATCTGAAATCTCCCGTGTACAAGACTGTTCCATTATTGCCCTGAAATAAAAACCTGAGAAGGAAATAGATCTTGGTGACTTCTAAGTCTCATACAACATTCTCATAAAGCAAAAACACACTAAACCCATAGCAAACGTTTCCTGCCAAACATAGCCACCTACAATACGGTATTAGTGGGATTTTAATAGCTCTACATCATACCAGGCATTCAGCCGCCACCTTTTCTCAGGGGGGGGGGGGGGGGGGAGCGGTTAGAAAACATTATGGACTGTACTACTGCATTTCCAACAGACATCCCCTGAAATGTGTTAGCACTCTTCACTACTCATGGAGAGAAAAATCCATGGGACAGGAAAATTCAAAGTCAACAGAGAAATGGCCATTGAAGACTTCCATTGTAAGAAAGCCACATTTCCAACTTGATCTTCACCTCAATTCCCCAAGTTCAATTTGGAAACAAAGATTAAAGAAATTACCATCTACGTATTCAAGAAGTAATCTCCCATCTACATATTCAAGAAGTAATCTCCCCACACATATTATTTTTTAGACCCTAAACATTTATTTCTACAAACGCGATATATATCTATGTGTAAGAAAATGGCAAAAGAGATGAGCCCCCTTACATAACTGATCCTGGACAATGACCAGCTGGTAAGAGAGTCACAACAACCTCTTCCTTCTAAAAAGAAAATAAAGAAAAAATAATAATAATAGAAGTTATCATGAGGACCCAGCTCTCCTTAATCGAACAGATTCAGGTACTTCTCAAGAATGTGGTATGCCTCTCCTCATTTCCTCATGCACCAAATCCTGGAGACGCGTGAAATCCTTGCCCACAGAATGACAGTTAAACGCAGCTACAGTGTAACCCAGCAATTCGACTCTGAGCTACACACAAGAGAAATGAAAACGGACAACCACATGAAAACCTGGGCATGCATGTCCACAGTGGCACTGCTCATACTAGCCAGCAAGTAGAAGAAGCCTAAATGTCGCTCAATTGATGAGCACATGAATAGGACGTGATCTGCCCATACAGTGGAATGTTATTTGGGCCACGGCAAGAGATGAAATCCTCACATCATACTACGACATGGATAAACCTTGACACCATTATGCAAAGTGAAAGAAGTGAGTCATAAAAGACCACGTCCAGTACGATTCCATTGATAGGAGATGTCTGGAACAGGCCAATCCTGCAGACTAGAGTAGTGGTTGCCATGGGCTGGGGGAGGGAGAAGTAGGGAATGATTGCTAATGGGTACACGGTTTCTTTGTGGGTGATGAAAATATTCGAAAAAGAACTGTGGTGGTAAATACACAACTCTATGAATATATGAAAAGCCACTGAATTATACATTTTAAATGGAGAGAACTGTACAGTATATGAATGATATCTCAATAAAGCTATTATTAAATTAAAAAAAAAAAAAAAGCCTGCTGTCGTCTGGCCCCAAATCACCATTCTACAAGTACTGTCCCGGTATTAGGACACACTGGCTCACTACGTGAGAATGGCAATTCCTCCCAGGAGTCTAAGGTCATTCATTCCGATGGCCCTATTAGAGCAAGGTCCCATGGTTAGTTCTGGAGACACAACACACAAAGCTATGGTGCATGAGAATAAACCCAGGACCAGAGTGGGACCGCCAGACTCCAGTCAACAGCAGGAGCTCTAGTCTTTCGCCAACATAAGTGGCAAGACAGCGAGGCAATCGGGGGAGTCGAGAGCTCTCTAACTGAGGTCAGCACAGCATCTGGGAACCTTCAGGCTGTCCTTTTCCCCTCCTTTTTAACCCGCCCCAACCAGTCCTGAAGCCCTCCCTTGCTGAACAATTTGGTGAGGACTACTTCACAGGCTGATCTTCTCCAGAGAGGAGAGACGAAGTCAGCCCCTGCCTGATCCTGGAGAGATGACGGACACCCTTCGGAGTTCAACGTTTCGGAAGGGCAGGTTATAACCCGGCCGTAGAACTAATCCTACCTAGATTTCCCAGACAGTAGGAAAATACTTCTGGCCCTAGGAAGAATTTGAGGTAGAAAAATAAATAAATAAAAGGTAGGTCCATAATCTTGCTTATTATTAAACATTCACAACGCAAAAGTACCTGCTTCTAAATTTAAGGACAAAAAATATACTGGATCCACGTGGACACTGTTTCTTCCATAAGAAATGATTCAGAAAATAAGAAAATCACAAACACATGTATTTGCTACAAAAGCACTAAGCACCATATTATATCCTGAATATCGTAATAAATGTAATTAAAGTGACAATGACATCATGCAGTAATATTAACAGCTGGAGTTCTCATCATTAGTAGGTAATATACTAAAAAAGAGCAATTCACACAGAAGTCAAAGTCTACCTCATAGACTACCATGTAGAAAAGAAATACAACACAAATATATACATATATATTTTCCCCCTACAAAGTCATCCAATTACTATAACTTTTATGGTAAGAGCAGCACTCAAAATCACAGAGAAGAACAATCAGGTTATTAAATAATAATTTTTTAAAATTATATTTAGTATTTACTTACCTCGCCTGATGCTTCATCAACTAAAGGTATCTGGGTAGGAGTTTCTATTTCAATGGATATCTATTAAAATAAGAGATCATATGTACTATCATACTCAGTGTTTTCAGTTTTTCATGGATTTACATGGCTCTGCCATCTCCAACACACACACAAAAAAAGACTTAGAAGTTACTAGGACTCTCTGAGTCGTAATTTCGGACTCCGCAATACTAAATGTTTTAACAGCTTGAAGACAGGATAGAGCTAACATAGTGCCTTTCCTGTGGCTGATGTGGCAACGTTGGTTAAATGCCTCCTAAACTTACATATCCTTTGACACAGCAATTCTATTTCCATGAATTCAATTCTTCTCCCGTCACTCCCCGTCCCTATCTTCCCACTGCCTGCTCCCTCTGAACTTGAGCCTCGGTAACACACATGGCCACATGCTCTGCATGCTTAGGCTTCTCGCTGCAGAACGCAGCCTGGATCTGTCCACGAGGTGCTGGCCTTGTTCAGATTCAGGCTGCCTCAAGGGGCTCCCAGGTGGCCTGGCCCATTTTACTATGACAGCAACTTGCATGAGGGGCATTCAGTAGGTAGTTGATGAATCAGTGCACACAATTCATCTTTTCAGTCCACAGATATCCTAAAACTTAAAGTAACTGAGATTCAGGTGTTAAAAATATCCTTGCATTCTGGGGGCGCCTGGGCGGTTTAGTTGGTTAAGCGTCTGCCTTCGGCTCAGGTCATGATCTCCCGGTCCTAGGATTGAGCTCTGTGTCCAGCTCTCTGCTCAGTGGAGAGTTTGCTTCTCTCTGCACCCCCACAGGGCCCAACTCGTACTCTCTCTCTCAAATAAATAAATAAAATCTTAAAAATATATGTATTCTTGCATTCCAGAGTAAACACACTGGACTGTGTTCACAACGCACTTTTTTGCTACTCTGAGATTCAGTTAGCTTAATCAGGCTGTTCACGTGGTCATACATGAAATGGCTTCTCTCCTCCTTGCACTATCATTATCAATTCTGCCAACAAGGTCGAGCAGCTTCTCTCTTTACTATATCCCACAAAAACTCATCCAGTATGGGGATTATTTGTCCTTTGAACATTTGGCAAAATGCACCTATAAAACCATCTGGACCTGGGGCTTATTGAAGAAGAGATCTTTGTAAGTTGTTTTAATTTCTTCAATGTTTACTTATTCAAGTTTTCTAGTTTTCTTGCCTCAATTTGGTATTTTCCTCCTTAGCCAGGTATCCACTTTGCCTAAATTATCAAATATACTATCATTACTTTTCAAAAATGCATTGCTACTATTAATACTTTCCTTTTATCATTCTGTATTTTTATATGCATCTTTTTTTTTTTTTGACAGAAAGAGAGATCACAAGTAGACAGGCAGAAAGAGAGAGAGAGAAGGAAGCAGGCTCCCTGCTGAGCAGAGAGCCCGATGCAGGACTCGATCCCAAGACCCTGAGATCATGACCTGAGCCAAAGGCAGAGGCTTAACCCACTGAGCCACCCAGGTGCCCTATATGCATCTTTTTTTTTAAAGATTTTATTTATTCATTTGAGAGGGAGACTGAGAGAAAGAGACAGAGCATGAGCAGGGGGAGGGGCAGAGGGAGAAGCCAAACCCCCGCTTAGCAGGGAGCCCGATGCAGGACTCGATCCTGGGACTCCAGGATCATGACCTGAGCTGAAGGCAGCTGCTCAACCAACTGAGCCACCCATCTCACCCATGCGCCCCTGCATCTTTTTTTAATCTTGGCAGAAATCTATTTCTGTTCCTCTGAAGATGAGCTTTTACTTTCGTTAATCTTGCCTTTTATTTTCTGTGGTAGTTGTTGGTCTCTGTATTGATAACTTGTCCTTTTGCCTTAATTATTTCCTTCTTTCCCATATCCTTAGATTTGCTTTGTTGCTCCTTTCCCTTCGTACTGAGTTGAAGACCATTTCCATGTAATTCTGGTCTTTGTTTTCTAAGAAATGTACTCAATGCTGTCAATTTCCCTCCAAGCGCTAATTTAGCTGTGTTACACATATTTTGACATGTCGTGTTCTCACTGTCCATCAATTCTAAGTATTACATGCTTTTCTTTACAATTTCCTCTTTAACCTAAAGGTTGCTTAGTATTTCAGTTCCCATGTGTGGGATGATTTTAGCTCTCCTTTTATTTAGGATTTCAGCAACACCGCATTGTACTCAGAGAACAGACCAGTACGATGTCCTACTTTTGTGACACAGCACATGGTCAATTATAAATGTTTCCTATATACCAAAGATCTTGCTTTCCCTTTGGGTGCCTCCGATTGCTATTAGTTCACATTTATTAATCAAGCCCTTCAAATCTATCTTATTTCCTGCTTCCTTCCTCTTTCAGTTTTTTTTTTTTTTTTTTTAATTTATTTGAGAGAGACAGAGAGAGCACAAGCAGGGAGAATGACAGAAGCAGATTCCCCACTAAGCAGGGAGCCTGACGTGGGGATCGATCCCAGAACCCCAGGATCATGACCTGAGCCGAAGGCGGATGCTTAACTGACTGCACCTCCCGGGTGCCCCCCTCTTTCAGTTTCTGTGAGTGGTGTGTGAAGCGCTAGAGCTACAAGCACTGAGTGTCCTAGCTGCTCTTAGACTGAGAGGTGGCCTCATACTCCACTGACTTTGCTGCACTGCAACTGTCCCAGAGGTCCCCTCCACACATACCTCCAGGTTGGCACTGGCCACAGGAAACCGCTGTGTGAGATCTGGAAGGCCAAAGTGAACCGGCAGCCAGAAGATCTACCAGCTCCAGTACGAGCACCTGCTGGCTCAGCTGGCAGACAGGACAGGACTGCCGTGACCCCACCTTCAGCTTCTCAAAGGCCTGGGCCAGGAGTGTGGCACTCAGTAGCACCAGGGGGCTGCAGCACTAGCCAGGGTGGAGAGAGTGCGAGACAGGGGTTCCAGGCTTCCCTGTGGGTTCCAGCCCACCTCTGCCCTTCTCCACTTCTCTCTCCACTCGGCTTCCTGCCGCTGACCTGCAGGTCCATGGCAACCTCAGGCCTAATACCAGGCCGAGGTTACAGCCTTAGTGTTGGGCCACTCTGTGGAGTGGGGATGGACCTCACCCCAATTACGGTCAGAGGTCGAGCCGGAATGTGCCACACGTGCACCAACAGGGTGTGAAAACACTGTTTTTCCCACACTGTGGGAGGTTCTGCAGAGAGTAGAGCAGTGCCCCAGCTGGGAGGAAGTGGCTCTTCCCCACACCCCAGAGACAGGAGCAGTGAGTGGCCCTGGTTTTTATTGTGGTTGGGGGGTGTGCGTGGGCTCCCATGGTTCGAACTTCACGTCAGTGCCAAGGTTGGGGGTGGGCTTTTTTTTTTTTTTAATTTATTTTTTAATAATTTTTTAATTTATTTGACAGAGAAAGAGGAGGAGGGTGCGGCAGGCAGAGGGAGAGGGAGAAGCAGTCTCCCTCCTGACAGGGAGCCGGATGCAGGACTTGATCCCAAACCCTGCGACCATGACCTTAGCCAAAGGCAGATGCTTAACTGACTGAACCACCCAGGGGCCCCAAGGCTTTTTTTTTTTTTTTTAAATCAGCCTGCCCAAATGTGGGGCAGAAGTGGAAAGAGGATGTGAGAGCTGAAAGCCAGCAGCAGGTAAACATCAAACAGACCGTGACACTTGTTCGGCCTTCTCTGCCAGATCCCACAATGACTTAAGGTTTAAACCACAGAGTGCACCCTAACTGTATTTCCCCAGCGCTTCTCTTTCTCTGATCAAGCACTGGGGGATCAGTGAGGACTTTATCCAGTTTGTCAATTGCATGTTTGTCAATTGCATGTTAAGTTCAAATCTTCTTGATCCATTGCTCCTTCTGACAATAAATAACATCCTCTTGGGAACAAGATCTCTTTTTACCTTCGATTCTATTTTGTATGACAAAAAAAACTGCCACTCTGGATTTTTTAGCTTCTAATTATTTAATATACCTTTCCCTTTTTTTGTTTTTTTAACTCCATTTCAACTTGCATTTATCCTTTTGTTTAATCTAAACCTCTTGTAGACTAAGACTATTGGAACTTTCCTTTTTTTTCCCTTAACCTAAACTGAGAAAATCATTAGTTAGAAAATTAACTAGTAATTACTGTTATAATAGGACTTTTCCTAGCATCTTACATTTTCCATATACCATTCCTTTGTTTCTCCCTTCACTATATGCTTTCCATTGGACAGATCCATTTTATTCTGTCAGATTCAAAGTTGTCCACTCTATTTTTATTCCAGTTGTTATCCCTTTATCGTAACCCATAAGATGTGTTCATTTTTCCTAAACTATGTCATGACCTAAGTAATAGGATTTATCAGTTGTGTTAAACATTTCACACTCTGCAGTATTAAAATGCAACTTAGCAGCTTTACACAGTGGCAGTATTGTAGCCAATGAGGTTTATCCGAGGTGTGATTATTGCTAATTAAAATGCAATTTAGCAAGAGTTAATGAAATTAAACCAACAAAACTAAGACCTGAGATCAAGCCACTGATGGACAAGAAATACAAATCTGCAACAACAAAATGTTGGCCTCTTCTAAACTGAGGAATTACAAAGACTAAACATCAATACTGTAATTAATGTGGATAAATACAGTGTAGGACTAACTGGGCTTTGAATAATCCCAATGCTTTGTTTAATCGGCCTCGAAAAATATTTCCCCTTGAGGTAAAGAATTAGTATCATAAAAAAATAAAACTTACGATTCGTTTCTCCCAAAATCTGTACTTCGGGCTAGTTAACAACAACTCTTTAGTAACAGGCGAACAGTATAAGCAAACCTTCAAGCTGAAAGAAGAAATTTAGAAAAGCTGGGTCAGTATAATCCATAGCGAGCCATCTGGGTGACCAGAAAAATACATTTCATCACATATTAGTTATCTCAAATCATTCAGACACTGAGCTGGCTCAAGAAGTGTCGGAACAGTTCCCCACATGCCACCACCTGTAACCATCTAGGTCCCATCAAGACAGAAGTGGGAGAGGGGGCACCTGGCCAGCTCAGTCGGTACGAGTGTGCGACTCTGGATCTTGGGGCTGTAAGTTAGAACCCCACATTTGGAGCAGAGATTACTTAAAAATAAATTTATTTTTAAAGATGTATTTATTTATTTTATTTTGAGAGAAAAAAATTTATTTTGAGAGAAAGAGAAAAGGGAAGAGTGAATGAGAGGGAGAGAATCTCAAGCCGACTCCCCACTGAGCGTGGAGCCCACAAGGGGTCTTGATCCCACAACGGTGGGATCACGACCCTGGGATCATGGCATGAGCTGAAATCAAGAGCCAGACACTTAACAGACTGCACCACCCAGGAGCCCCACCTTAAAATTTAAATTAAATTAAAAAAAAAAAAAAAAAAGAGTGCAGAGGAACAACAGGGAAGAAGCAAAAGAAGAGAATATACTGTGCCCTCTGACTTCCTCAAAAGGGGGTCCCCCATCACTCTGAGTTTAAAGATATATGTTTGTACCTGATCAGGAATGTCTGGAACGATTCCGCCACATGAAGCTACCTCTCAAGAAGGGAAAAGGGTGGGGATGCTTTCAAATTTTTAAATTCAAAAACAAGGCTTAGAGTTAAGAACACAGTCTGTGATGGACCGTATTTTCCAAAGATGGCCACACTAATATATTCCCAACCACACATGCTCTGTTTACAGATGGATAAGGAAATCCCTCTGCTGACAGAGGGGTCTATTTTAACCACCCCCCCCAACTTCAGCCTGTCTTTGTGACTGCCTCAACCAACAGAACGTGACAGAAGGAGGTCTCAGGACTGTGGAGGCTACATGGTTCCCTGCTAGCTCTCCCTTGGGACATACACTTTTTAAGCCCCAAGTCTCCATTTAAGAAGTTCGGCTACCTTGAAATCACCATGCTGAAGAGTTTTCCAGGGACAGAGTTGCCCAAAAGCCCCAGCTGCCTGATTCCTCTCAGCCTTGGTGTCAAACACTGAATGATGGGCCCCAGATAATGGCAGTCCCCCTAGGACACCCAGCCAGGGAGAAACCAGCACCCCCGACTGTGCTCTGTCAGCATTCCCAACCCACAGAAACTGAGAAAGAGAACATATGATTAGTGGGTTAAAGTCACTAAGTTTGGGGCTAATTTGTTACGCAGCAATAGATAACTAATATACGGGCTCAAAAATCAGACAGACCTGGTTGAAATCCTGGTCCTGCCACTTACTGGCTGTGTGACCTTGGGCAACTAATTTAACCTCTCTGGTTCCTCAGTTTCCTCATCTGCAAAATAGAAATAATAATGGTATCTATTCAAAAGTTACCAAGAGGATCTAATGAGGATGTTGGCTCCAAGAAGACAGGGATTTTCATCTGTGTTGTTACTAGTATAGCCTCAATGTCCAGCACAGAGCCTGACTTGTCACAGGCTCTCAAAGAAACCGCCAAACTAAACAACACATAGGGCTGGCATTTACATAAGCACTCAGTGAATACAGGCTACCGATCATCACGAACACAGACCCGTGATAGCACTTTGCAGAGAAGACTGGCATCCACTGGGTCAGAAGTTAAAGAGTCAACAGGGCTCTTTCCAATACATAGCTTAGGGATTTGGAATTGACATTTAGGCAGAGCGGACTGTAGGAAAAGAACGCAGTACTTTAGCTTGAAGATCCAAAAACATTATGACTGTCTTCGCAACAGAACTACACACACAGGGAGAAATGAAAGGGAACACACTACTGCTACCCCCAACAGCATGATGAATCGTACAATTAGAATGTCGAGTGAAAGGAAACAACTAGAAGTGTCTATTCAGTATGATTCTACAAAGCTCACAACCAGCCAAGATTAAACCATGATGACAAAAAGTCAGAATACATGATGCCTTTGAGACAAGGACTGACTGGGAGGAGTGATGGGGCTCTGTTCTGGGACACGGGCCCTATTCTATTTCTCCATCTGGGTGGAAGCTTCATAGATGTGCTCACCTACAAAAGCTCATCTGACTGTGTCCCCTTACGATGTATGTACTTCCCTGTGTAGCAGTCACAGCTCAATTAAAATGTTTACTTAAAAAACACACAAATAAGGAGGAAAATAAATTACCTGCACTCCAGCCTTCTTTTCAAGGTAGGGGCTCTTAATCCTTTCATGTGATCTAAAAACAAAAGAATCAAAAATTATAAGCACATTTTTTTTTTTTTTAGAGGATTCCTTAGGCCAAGCAAGGTGTCTGTTCTTTTCGAGCTTTCTTTTAAGAGAAAATATATGAGAGGTTCACTTTTTTTTTTTTTTAAAGATTTCTTTTATTTGAGAGAGCGAGCACACACACTCACGTGTGAGTGGGAGGGCGGGGGGAGGAGAGAATCTTTTTTTTAAACCTGGAGTGTGGTTACTACATATATTTTTTAACATATAATGTATTATTTCCCCAGGGGTACATGTCTGTGAATCATCAGGCTTACATATTTCACAGCACTCACCATAGCACATACCCTCCCCAATATCCATAACCCAGCCACCCTATCCCTCTCACCCAGCTCCACTCCAGCAAGCCTCATTTTGTTTCATGAGATTAAGAGTCTGTTATAGTTTGTCTCCCTCCCGATCCCATCTTGTTTCATTTTATCCCCTCCCTACCCCTCACGACCTCCTGCCCTGCACCTCAAATTCCTTATATTAGAGAGATCATATGATAACTGTCTTTCTCAGATTGACTTAATTCACTCAGCATAATAACCTCTAATTCCATCCACAACGTTGCAAATGGGAAGATTTTGGTTTTCTGATGCCTGCATGGTATTCCATTGCATATATATACCACAGCTTCTTTATCCATTCATCTGTTGATGGATATCTAGGTTCTTTCCACAGTTTGGCTATTGTGGACATTGCTGCTATAAACATTTGGGTGCACATGCCCCTTCAGATCACTACATTTGTATCTTTAGGGTAAATACCCAGTGGTCCGATTGCTGGGTTGTAGGGTAGCTCTATATTCAACCTTATGAGGAACCTCCATGCTGTTTTCCAGAGTGGTTGCACCAGCTTGCATTCCCACCAACAGTGTAGGAGGGCTCCCCTTTCTCCGCATCCTCACCAACATCTGTCATTTCCAGACTTATTAATTTTTTGAACACATTTTTCATGTGTCTGTTGTCCATCTGATGTCTTCTTTGCAGAAATGTTGTTCATGTCTTCTGCCCATTTCTTGATTGGATTATTTGTTCTTTGGGTGTTGAGTTTGAAAAGTTCTTTACAGAGTTTGGATAGTAGCCCTTTATCTGATAGGTTGTTTGCAAATATCTTCGCCCATTCTATCAGTTGTCTTTTGGTTTGTTGACTGTTTCCTCTGCTATGCAAAAGTTTTTGACCTTGATGAAGTCCCAATAGTTCATTTTTGCCTTTGCTTCCCTTGCCTTTGGCGATGTTTCTAGGAAGAAATTGCTGCAGCGGAGGTCAAAGAGGTTGCTACCTGTGTTCTAAAGGATTTTGATGGATTCCTGTCTCAAGCTGAGGTCTTTCGTCCATTTTGAGTCTATTTTTGTGTGTGGTGTAAGGAAATGGTACAGTTTTATTCTTCTGCATGTGGCTGTCTTTCCCAACACTATTTGTTAAAGAGACTGTCTTTTTTCCATTGGACATTCTTTCCTGCTTTGTCAAAGATTAGTTGACCACAGAGTTAAGGGTCCATTTCTGGGCTTTCTATTCTGTTCCATTGATCTATGTGTCTGTTTTTGTGCCAGTACCATACTGTCTTGATGATGACAGCTTTGTAACAGAGCTTGAAGTCTGGAATTGTGATGCTGCCAACTTTGGGTTTCTTTTTCAACATTCCTCTGGCTACTTGGGGTCATTTCTGGTTCCATACAAATTTTAGGATTATTTGTTCCATTTCTTTGAAAAAAAATTGATGGTATTTTGATAAGGATTGCATTAAATGTGTAAATTGCTTTAGGTAGCATAGACATTTTCACAATATTTGTTCTTCCAATCCATAAGCATGGAACATTTTTCCATTTTGTTTGTGTCTTCCTCAATTTCTTTCATGAGTACTTTATAGTTTTCTGAGTACAGATTCCTTGCCTCTTTGGTTAGGTTTATTCCTAGGTATCTTATGGTTTTGGGTGCAATTGTAAATGGGATTGACTCTTTAATTTCTCTTTCCTATGACTTGCTGTTGGTATATAGAAATGCAACTGATTTATGTGCATTGATTTTATATCCTGACACTTTACTGAATTCCCGTATGAGTTCTAGCAGTTTTGGAGTGGAGTCTTTTGGGTTTTCCACATAAAGTATCATATTACTTGCAAAGAGTGAGAGTTTGACTTCTTCTTTGTTGATTTGGATGCCTTTTATTTATTTTTATTGCCTGATTGCCAAGCTTAGGACTTCTAGTACTATGTTGAATAGCAGTGGTAATAATGGACAGCCCTGCCGCGTTCCTGACTTTAGGGGAAAAGCTCTCAGTTTTTCCCCTTTGAGAATGATATTCACTGTAGGTTTTTCATAGATGGCTTTGATGATATTGAGGTATGTGCCTTCTAACCCTACAGTGTGAAGAGTTTTGATCAAGAAAGGATGCTGTACTTTGTCAAATGCTTTTTCGGCATCTATTGAGAGTATCATATGATTCTTGTTCTTTCATTAATGTATTGTATCACACTGATTGATTTGCGGATGTTGAACCAACCTTGCAGCCCTGGAATAAATCCCACTTGGTCGTGGTGAATAATCCTTTTAATGTACTATTGGATCCTATTGGCTAGTATTTTGGTGAGAATTTTTGCATCCGTGTGGGAGGAGAGAATCTTGAAGCGGACTCCCCACTGAGCAGGGAGCCCCACACTGGGCTGGATCCCATGACCCCGAGATCATGACCTGAGCCAAGACCAAGAGTTGGACGTTCAAGCAACTGAGCCCCCAGGTGCCCCAAGAGGTTCACCTTTATAAGAGAACTGATTCGTGTGGGCTACTGACTCTTCTGCAGGTGGCAAATACCGCTGCAAACAGGGCAAGAACCACTGCAAGCTGACCATCTCTGGCCATCATTTACAAGAACAATCCCCTCCATCTTAGGACAGATTCTAAATCACTCTGAGTAGCCACAGAAGAATGAGTGACCAGACTCACTTCAGAACTGCTTCCAGCACTTTCTTTCATGTTCTTCCTTCATTTTAATCCAACCATCCTTTGTGCCCACTTTATGTGACCCATCCAGTCCCAGGCACTGAGGTGAGTCCATCTGGACCTTGTTTAGGCTTAGGTCAGCATGAGAAGAGTTTCATTCTCTTCTCAGCCTGCTGTGACTGCTGGGTAGAAAGATGCGGCATTTCTATCCACACAGGTCTGCTTCGCAGCCCTCCAAAGCAACACATACAGAAAGACAGCCTTTAAACATAGTCATTCTAATACATTCTGAATCTCCAGCATGGGAAGGACTAGATAGCAATGACCACACCTTCTCAGTTTAGGTGAATCAACAAACCCTAATTATTCAAATTACCACCCAAACACACACACACACACACACACACACACACACAGAGTCCTCAACACAATCACCTGTGCTGATCCTTAACTCCAGAGAAAACAATGCAGTCACCACACCCCCCACAGTAGACCTTGACTGGACTTGTGCCTGTCCCCTCGGTGGGTGAATCCCCTCAGATCACTCCTAGTCCAGGCTTTTAGGGCCTCTGGTGGCATTGGTTGGGATTTCCAAAGAATTTGTGCCACGGCAAAATAGAGGCTGAATCAAGACTCAGTTCCATACTCCCAAACTAAATCAGCAGGCAGCCCTCTGTGGCTGCTTTAATCAAGACAGCCCAGGACCAGCCCAGGACCAGCCCTGGACCACCGCAGACCCCTCCAAGGCTGCCAGCAAGAGAACCTGGGCCAGTTTATTTGGTGCTGCAAGGACTGCACCCAGAGTCTCCTTTCCGGAGCCCTTTTGCTTTCTCGAACCAAATTAAGTCATTGGAAATTGTCCCCTAATGGGGTCTTCTCCAACCCTGGGCTACTCTATCAGGCCACAGGTCCCCTCTTGACCTCCAGACCTTACTGATGCTTAGCAAAGCCTGCCCTGAGCATAGGGCTGGGTTTCAGATGGTCCATAAGCAGGACTGAGTGGGCCATGGAATGAGACGTTCTATCAAAATGTGATTTTTTTTCTACCAAAAGAGGCCACAGATTTTGTCAGATATCCTGTATCAGTCTGTTCAGAATGACACAAAATACCACAGACAAGGTGGCTTAAACCATAAAACTTACAGTTCTGGAGGCTAAATTCCAAGCTCAAGGAGCCAGGGTTGGTTTCTGGTGAGACTTCCCCTCCTGGCTTGCAGATGGCCCTTCAGAGTGTGTGGACAGGGTGCAATCTCTATTCCTCTTTTCATAAGGCCATCAATCCTAATGAGTTAGGATCCAGCTCATTTAAATTTTAACTGCCTCCTAAAAACCTAGTCACCAAATAGTCACATGGGGGTTTCAGCTTCAACACCTGAAGGGGGTGGGGCAGCACAATTCAGTCCACAGCATATCAAAGAAATCTGTTTCTGAAAAAGGTTAAAAACTACCAGTAAGCAGTGTGGGAAATTTCGAAAAGCAGAAGCTGAGTTCTTCCCTTGATGAGATTATTTTCAGGCTGAGTAAACAGACTCACGTGTCATTAGAGAACAGAAACAGTGATTATAAACTGCTCAATAACAGGGAGTCAGTTTTTTGCTTAACGTACAAACAGATGATCACGATTTCAGATTCCGTTAGAGGGATTCCTTCTCCAAACTCGCTACTCGTAGACATCAAGGGCGAGCCCCTGCGCCACACGTCAATCATGGCTAAGCACATTCTGAGTTCAGAAACTCCAGTAACGCTCAAGACAAAAGGTGAAACAGAGGTATCACCACCCAGCAGGGGATTCACAAAGAAAAACGCACCAAAACCAAAAATGTTATTCTGGAGATAAGTAGAAAGACCCTCAAAAAGGCTCACAGTGCTATTTGACAAATCAAGAGACGAAATTCAGATTTTCGCATTGATGAGAGAAAATTCGTAGACTAGAGCAAGAAAGCAGAGGCACTTCCCAAAAGCGCGAACGCAGGCATACTAGGTGATACACACACGGCCAACGGTTGCAAAATGAGGGCTCCTCCAGCTCTGGAGATCGGTTAGAACGTTTTAGAGACTCTCCCGCCTCACGTGGAGTCTCTAACCTCCAGGCCTTATCACTAGGGCCTAATCCCTAATAATTAGGGATCACCTACCGTGTGCAGCTGTGAAATCTTAGTGTTCTGGTTGCTTCCCCTTAAACGAAATTTTTATATTGGAGGCGGGCAGAACACCTCAAAGGAGGGGGAGCTTGCACTACAAGAGCTTTCAGACGCGAGGTCTGAGTGTGTGTGCGGGCGCTTGCTTGATAATAAATACTGGGGGGCGGGTAGGGCGGGATTTCTTCTGAAACTTGTTTTCTTTATAACATGGAAGCGAAGATGTAAAGGAAGAAGTAAGAAAGAATCCTCGCTGACTTCTGACTCTTCGCTGCTAGGAGAGCTACCAAAAGAACCCAAGTATTATCCCTGGTCAAACGGGCCCGGAGGGTGGGGGGCTGCCCAAGTTTCGGTTCCGTCCCGTCGTACAGATGAAGAAATAAAGCCTCAGAGAGGCCGAAGAGCCAGGCTGGGACAAGGTCCATCTGCTGGTCTGGGCCCCGGCCTCCCGGAGCCTGCACTCCGCTGCTCGAGCTCCCCCGAGCATCCCGGGCGGCTTCCCCGCGCGGCCAGAACACAGTCAGCCTGCGTCCCCTGGGCGGGCGGCGCGCCACGCTCACTCACCCTTGTGGCAGTGGGACAGGAAGTAGGCGCGGGCTTTCAGGTTCTCCCTGTCAAAGCGGTCTATGGAGATGGTTGGGTACTCGGCCATCTGCCCCTTGAAGGAACTCATAGCGCCAGCACAGCCCCGCGGACCCGACCCCACGCCGCCTGCGGAAGCTGAGGTTTTCCTCGCCTGGCCGCCACTTCCGGGAACCTGCCGCCGCCGCCGAGCCATTGGCTCGCCGGATGCAGCCACGTCCAATCAGAGGAGCCCTGAGGCGGCGGGGCGGTGCCGAGGAACTTCAGTGGACAGTCCGCTGCCGGCGAATCGTGTGGTTGATTGTTCGAGTGGCGGGATGCTGGGCTGGGGCAGCTGGCTGGGATCTAGGATGTGGCGCGACGAGGGTGCCTCCTGCTGGAGACCTTGACTCCACACGAGTGGCCTTCCTGGTGCAGTGTGTCCTTGTCTGTGCAGGAACGGTATCGCGAAAGGAAACTGAACACCCGTAGCAGGTGCTCTACCCAAGGATGCCAAGAAGCGAAGGGCGATGCAAAGCTTCGCTTTGAAATCAGACTTCGTTCCACCTCCTGCTTGTCTATTGAGAGCCTGAAAGCCCAGTTTCCCTTCTTTACTTTTCTTCCCAGTTTCTACCTTAGGGGGTAACCATGAGGATTGTATGAGAAAAAAAAATTGTATGTGACTCATGGTAGATTCAATAACTTGTTAGTTCCCGCTTCCATTTATTTATTCATTCATTTTTTTATTTTAAAAGATTTTAACTTATTTATTTGACAGAGAGAGAGAGAAAGAGAGAGAGAACGAACAAGCAGGGAAGCAGCAGGCTGAGGGAGAAGCAGGATCCCAGCTGAGCAAGGAGCCCAAGAGGGACCCCATCCCACTGAATGGATCCCTTCCTATCAAGTCTCCTTAAACACCACAATATTAATAATCAGAAACAAAAACACTCTTGAGGTGTTGTTTTGTGTATTACATTATAATAAGCCTTGCAGTTTATTACATATATGACTAAGATGTGCCTTCAGGTAGGTTTTCAACCCATTTGGAGACAGCACATTTGCAGAATATGATAAACAAATGCTTCCACAAAGACACAAAATAATGCGGGGGGCAGATCCAAGAACAATGAATTTTAAGCAGTGGAATCAAGAATCAGAGTGCCAACCTCATGGAACATCAGCATTTTCCTGCAGCCATGGTACTCAGAGTTCTATTCAAATAGAGATTTATCAAAGGTGAAGAAAAAGAAAGGGAGGAAGATGAGGTAGAGTGGGAGCAGTATAGACATCATAATCATTTGAGTAAAGCATTCTGTTAGTATCTATTGCCAACACCTTTGATTTGGTATAAGATGGTTTGTCTTAGAATAAAGGAGGGCTAAGCTGTGTATACCTAAAAACAAATTCTGCAGTGAGACTGGGATCTGGAGAATCTGGTGTGTCTACCTCTGACAGGATGTGGAACTCCTGGCAAGGCAGGTCAAGATAATAGTCATATGCTTATCTAACCACTTATTTATTCTCTCTTCTTTCCACAATGGGTACAGTGTGACAGAGTAAAGGGAAAGAGGATAAGGGGGAACAGATAGGTCAGAAAACAGCGAAGGTGGTTAAGTAGAGACACAGACACGCACAAACCATTGGAAAACATGAGCCAACTATTTGGCTCTTCGAGAAGAAGCCATAATCACCAGCCTTACACACCCTCAAGACACAAATATAACAGATTTTTAGGAGAAGTCCAATTTTCTGATTATTGAGTCCCAAGAGAAATTCCTCCTGTGGCTGCTAGTAAAGAAAATTGAAATGTAGTCAACAACATCAGCTCTGCTCCACTTCCTCATCCCACATCAGGAATCTTTCTGCAAGTCCAAGCTCTTCAGAATTCTAAGTCCTTGATGTCCCTCAAAGGGACTGAAAACTGCTACCAAGTGCATGTTACATACCAAAAAATTCGTTATTGAGGTAGATGTAAGTCTGTTGAGAAATAACTACAGGATATATTTTTCTTCACTTACAAACTGTTGTCAATCTAAATTAACTTACATTATAAATTTACTATATTCTATTCTATATATAATATATTTACTATATTCTATGCTATTCCTTCATAATAGCAGACATAAAATGTCATACGAGGAAGCATACAAGGAGATAATGTATTTTTTTAAAGTGTATCTGTGTGCTAGGGCTGCTGTAACAAGCACCACAGACTGGGTGACTTCCCCAACAGAAATTTCATTGCCTCAGAGTTCTGGAAGCTGGAAATCCAAGATCATACTCTATGATTCTACTTATATAAAATTATGAAAATTGTGAACTGATCCAAAGCAACAGAAAGCAAATCAACAGTTGACTGGGGGCACAGGAAACAAGTTCATTAACTTGATTGTGGTGATGATTTCACAGGTGTATGCATATGTCAAACTTACCAGATTATAGGCTGTTAAATATGTGCTAGTTATTGCATTTCAATTATCTCTCAATGGATTTATTTTCAAAATGTTTGGAGAGTATATGGGAGAAGGTAGACAAACTGAACCAGATTGACAAGGATATCCCTTCTGTAGAGAGTTAAGAAGACACTGCATGGCTAACTCACATAACAGAAGGTGGCTTTGAAAAAAATCACAATGTATGTTTATTTTGCATTAGTTTCATGCATGTCTTCACCACCCATATCTCTTCTTCACAGCTCCTACTCTCAACCCTCTGACTGATTAAAGTGTTATTATTCAACTAAGAAAAACTAACTAAATAAAGTCTAACCAAAGCCCCAGACAATGGTAAGTGTTCAATAAATATTAGATCTTATTATTATTTACTGGGCATCCACTAAATACCAAACACTGTGCTTGAACCCGGTTTTACATAAAGGAATCAGCCTTGGCACGAGACCTTACAGTCTGGCAGAAGTAGAAACTCGTGGAAATAAATGCAAGAAGTTTTACAGAATTTTATTGGAAACCTGCTAAGAATGCAGTGCAAAGACCGAGCAAAAGAGCTCAATTCTGCAAGGAGAAAGAAAAACATAGTGGAGAAGGTTAACTCAAGTTCAGCTTCTGAGCACAGGAACAGCTGAAGTCCCTGGAATGGGCTTTTATTCAGTCTGCACACTGCAAATAGTTCCTTTTAACCAAAGAACTTGGGTCAAAGGGATGAAATAATAGGGACTTACCAGGGGAAGTCAAGGTTAAACTAGCTAAGGGACCAGACCACAAGGGCCTTATACACCAAGCCAAACAGTTCAAACTTTAACTTGAGCAACGGCGAGAAGCCTGGGTGGTTTGAAACAAGAGAATGATAAGTGAATCAGAAGAGTGTTTCTCAACGTGTGGCCCTGGGAGCGCACATGTTAGAAATGCAAGATCTCTACCGCAGCCTAGACTTACTGAATCAGAACTCTCCAGCAGTCTGTTTTAACACACTCTCCAGGGGACTCTGATTGATGCGTAAGTTTTCAAGCCACTGGATTTAAGTTTGAAAGAGCACTCAGGCAATCTGGGGCAGGACGTCTGGATCGGAAGCTGCCACAATACTCCAAAAAATGTGATGGTGTGGATTCACTTATTCACTCAACAAATCATCCCTGACCATCTATTCTGTGCCACACATTCTTCTAGACATTAAAGATACAGCATCAAGCAAAGCAGAGTAAATCCCTTGTGACAATGAAGTGTACATTCTAGTGGAAATCAGGTCTATCATTTATATAGTTCTAGGTGCTCTCCTAAATGGTTTACATTTGTTAATTCATCCTCACAACTGCCCCATCAGATAGGTACACTTTTTGTCTTTACAGTTAAGGAAAGCAGCGTTCAGTAACTTGCACAAAGTCATATGACAACTGAGTAGTAGAAACCGGATCCAAATCCGAGGTCATGCCTTAGACGTGATGCTATGCCGCTTCCAGAGCATCCGAGTAGCCATGGTGGTGAAAGATATTCATTCGAAATATATTGCTTTGGCACCTCTTGTGCACTAGGTACTATTCTACAAATTTGGTCAACAAGACCTCGGTCTTTATGGAAATGTGGAAATTACGTTCTTGCAGAAGATAAACAATAAAATTAAGAAAGAAGCAATTTAAATAGTATAATAAGTGGTGATAAGTTCTGTGGACGGAAGAAACACTAGAACGTAGTAAGGGGTAAGATAGAGAGCCTGATGCAGAAGCCACAGCTAAGGCCTCAAGCTGGAAGCTTGGCCAGGAACAACCAGCAGATCAGTGTGGCTGGAATGGAGTGACCCAGGGCTCCAGAGCAAGGGAAGGGGAATTGTATGCAACCCTTGTAGGGTTTTGTTGGTTTTACTCTGTAGGATGAGAAGCCATTGCAAGACTGTGAGGAGAGAAATGACACAATCTGAGTTATGTTTTAAACGGATTGCACAGACTGTTGTGTTGAGAATAGACGAGGGGGTATCAAGAGACACCTGTAGCAGATTATTGCAATAACCAGCGTGGGTGGGGGAGGGGTGATAGTGGCTTGGACTGGGTGGGAACAGAAAAGCCAACAGTGACGGATAAATAGGGCAAGACAGAGTGGACTCTAGGAGCCATTTAGTTAAGGCTGGGGCCTTTGGAGAGGGCTGTTTGGGACAACTAGGTGGATGTTGAATATAGGCCGGATATACAGGTCTGGAATTCAGAGAGAGATTTGAGTTGAGGAAATAAATTTGAAAGTTATTAAGTAAATCGATAGTATTTTAAATATACAGATAAAGGTAATGATAGAGAAAAGTCATCTAAATTATGGATGTTGTTGATTGTGGGTTTACTAATTGCCAGTCACTAAACTCTAATTTGTGAATTGACCCGTTTAGTTTCAACAAAATGAGAAACAGGGTGGGACAGACATGAGGGATCTACTCGCAGAAACCAAAATCTCCAACGGAATTCTGTCTGGTACTGTAGAAGCAAATAACACATTCTGCTCGATTCCTCTGCTAGGGGTCAGCCCCTGCAGGATGCCCATCCTGGCGTCAGCTTTGACTCTCCAAACTGCCCGTCTCCGCCCTCGCACCTGCGCGTTAGGGCCCTCTCGCAGGGGGTGGGGCCGGAGCTAGGGGCGCCACGCGTTGCTAGGGGACGCGACGGTCGCCGAGGCACGACAGTTGGCCTCTCGCTGCCCAGCCCACGGATTCCTGAGTGGAGAACACGAGCACCGCCACGCTCTCCTGCGAGCTCCCGGGCGGGGTGCCTCGGCCTCTCCAGGTCGGCCAGCGAGGGTAACCAAGGAGAGCGGGACCCAGGGGGTGGGTGGACACGTCCCGAGGGGCCCGAAAGGCCTGCCCCTTACACTGTGCCCGCCCGGCCCCGCCCCGGAACCCTCAGCTCCACCCCTTCTGCCCCAACCCGCCTTTGTGATTTCTGAGATTTGTCCCGCGTGCTTCTCTATTTTCTGGGTTAGCAGGGGTCTTTACCTGCTACCCCTTGACTTTCAAAATCTGATTTCCCCGTTGCTTCCAAGCCGAGGCGCACCCTTTGCGGCTTGAGGTATTCTGGGGTCTCTTCTCAAGAGTTCTGCGGACCAGTCATCTGACCCCCAGTTTTCAAAATGCTTTCTCCATCTCAGCCTTTTACCTCGATTACAGAATTGGTGATTTCTGGCAGAAGAAAGGTTTGAGGGACTGGAGAAGCATGGATTGACTTTACGCAGCACAGATGCAGATTAGCACACCTAGACCATGGACTACAAAGGCATATTTGAGAAACCAGTTGGGTTTTTCAACTGACCCCCCGCCCCAAGAACTTTGGGAAGGGAAGTGTGCGGACCTAAGACCTTCTAAATGAGATCTTTTCACTGTTCGGAAAACAAGCCCAGGGATGTTAACTGATCAGCTCCTTTGCCATATCCTGATACATCTAGGAACAGAATAAAATAGGTAAAGAAATGGAGGGTTCGCAATACTAATTAATGCTCTTGAGGTTTTAATACAACTAAAGGCAAAAAGCACTTTTCAGAGCAAACAAGGAAATGAAAAGGACTTTTGCATAGAAAGGAGTTTGAGATAACTGGTACATCAAAGGCTTTGATCTCAGATTAAAACTTTAGGTTGTCAAGGGTTTGATATTGCTGAGTTTTTAAAATACCTATATAAACTTAATACTATTTAATAAAATTAGAATTTTGCAAAACTAGAAAGTCAACCATTGCCATTTCCTGTTTCTGTAGCTACAACATAGTGTTATAGTTTTGCCACAACTCTTGGCAAAGTAAATCCACTAAATTTCAAAGTGCTGAAAGTTACTAGCGGGATTAATATTGTCACTGAATTTCCCAGAATTACTTAAATGTTTAATTGAAAAACTGTAAGTTGATCTTTCCCAATTTTAGTTTCATTCTGTTTTTAATAAGTAGAAAGTAAGTAATAAGGGAGACAAAAATTTAGGGGGGGATTTGCACCACCACTATATAGTATAGTTACAGTAACCAGTAGTTAAAGTATTATGGTGAAAATGCATTTATGTTCCCTTTAGCTATTGTGGGAAAACAAAGTTTTGAAATGGCTAATATGTGTAGAGGATACATATTTCCACTGAGGAAAAAAAATGTTTTTTTTTCCTGCAGTAGTTCAACTCTTCTGTTAGACAGCTCTTCTGTTAAAAGCAATATTTTTACTTTTTAAAAGATTTTATTTATTTGAAAGAGAGCGAGCGCATGCACGCATGTACAAGAGGGGGAGGAGCAGAGAGAAAGAGAGAGAAGCAGACACCCCCTCCCTGCAGCAGGAAGCTGGAAGCAGGACTCAATCCCAAGACCCATGAGATCATAACCTGACCCAAAGGCAGATGCTTAACCAACTGAGCCACCCAGGAACCCTTGTTGAAAGCATTTTTATATTCATAGTTTACATAAATGTTTTGCTGGAAAGTGGCAAAATGTTATCTAGATGACATTCAAGAAAATAGTTTTTGGATGAATACAAGTATATAAAAGTATTTTGTTATGTATGAAAAAGCCAAGCCTAAAGCAAAAATGGCTTGGGTAAAACAAAAAGTATGATTGTGCCACTACTTTTAGAAAGTGTGCTTTATCTATAGAAGCAATATAATACAGACACTAAATTCATATAACAAACATGAGTAATTCTGAAAGTATTTTTATACAGCGAATTTGCACTTTTCCTTTCATGTTTCATAGTGTCATTTTTCTATGAAAAAAAATAGGTTATATATGGTTGTATATGTTAATGGATTGTCAGGCTGTACCACACATGTCGAACTCACTGTTGGTCATACCTAGTGTGCAGCAACAAAGCAGTGAGCCTCGCATTGAAATGAATGGAAATGAAATAGAAACCAAAAGAACAGTAGAACCAACAAAACTGCTGGTTCTTTGAAACAATTAATAAGACCAATAAATCCCTGGCCAGACTTACCAAAAAGAAAAGAGAAAGGACCCAAATTAATAAAATCATAAATGAAAGAGTAGAGACCACCAACACCAAAGAAATACAAATAGTTATAAGAATATATTATGAGCAACTATACGCCAACAAATTAGGTAATCTGGAAGAAATGGGTGCATTCCTAGAGATGTATAAACTACCAAAACTGAAACAGGAGGAAATAGAAAACCTGAAGAGACCCATAACCAACAGGGAAATTGAAGCGGTAATCAAAAATCTCCCAACAAACAAGAGTCCAGGGCTGGATGGCTTCCCAGGGGAATTGTACCAAACATTTAAAGAAGTATTAATGCCAGTTTTTCTGAAGCTGTTTCAAAAAATAGAAATATAAGGAAAATTTGCAAACTCTTTCTATAAGGCCAGCATTACCTTGATCCCAAAACCAGACAAAGGCCTCATCAAAAAGACCGATATCCCTAATGAACATGGATGCAAAAATTCTCATCAAGATACTAGACAGTAGGATCCAACAATACATGAAAAGGATTATTCACCACAACAAAGCGGAATTTATTCCTGGGCTGCAAGGGTGGTTCAACATTTACAAATCAATGTGATACACTACATTAATAAAAGGAAAGACAAGAACCATATGATACTCTCAATAGATGCGGAAAAGGCATTTGACAAAGTACAGCATCCTTTCTTTTCTTTTTTTTTAAGATTTTATTTATTTATTTGACAGACAGAGATCACAAGTAGGCAGAGAGGCAGGCAGAGAGAGAGGGAGGAGGAAGCAGGCTCCCTGCAGAGCAGAGAGCCCGATGTGGGGCTCGATCCCAGGACCCTGGGATCATGACCTGAGCCGAAGGCAGAGGCTTTAACCCACTGAGCCACCCAGGCGCCCCTACAGCATCCTTTCTTGACTAAAATTCTTCACAATATAGTGATGAATGGTATATATCCTCAATATCTTAAAAGTCATATTCGAAGACCCTACAGCAAATATCATTCTCAATGGGGAAAAACTGAGAACTTTACCCCTAAGGTCAGGAACATGACAGGGATGTCCACTCTCAACACTGTTGTTCAACATAGTACTAGAAGTCCTAGCCTCAGCAATCAGACAACAAAAAATAATAAAAAGCATCTGAATCAGCAAAGAAGAAGTCAAACTCTCACTCTTCTCAGAAGACATGATATTCTATGTGGAAAACCCGAAAGACTCCACCCCAAAATTGCTAGAACCCATACAGGAATTCAAAGTGGCAGGATATAAAATCAATGCACAGAAATCAGTTTTTATACACTAACAATGAGCGAGAAGAAAGAGAAATTAAGGTGATCCCATTTATAATTACACCAAAAACCATAAGATACCTAGGAATAAAACTAACCAAAGAGGCAAAGGATCTGTACTCAAAAAACTATAGAATACTCATGAAAGAAATTGAGGAAGACACACAAAAATGGAAAAATATTCCATGCTCATGGATTGGAAGAACAAATATCGTTAAAATACCTATGCCACCTAGAGCAATCTGTACATTCTGCAATCCCTATCAAAATACCATCAATTTTTTTCACAGAGCTGGAACGAATAATCCAGAAAATTTTATGGAACCAGAAAAGACCCCAAATAGCAAAAGTAATGTTGAAAAGGAAACCCAAAGTTGGTGACATCACAATTCTGAATTTCAAGCTCTAGTACAAAGTTATAATAGTCAAGACAGTATGGTACTGTCACAAAAACAGACACAAAGATCAATGGAACAGACTAGAGACTCCAGAAATGGACCCTCAACTTTACGGTAAACTAATCTTTGATCAAGCAGGAAAGACTATCCAATGGAAAAAAAGACAAGTCTCTTCACCAAATGGTGTTGGGAAAATTGGACAGCCACATGCAGGAGAATGAAACTAGACCATTTTCTTATACCACACACAAAAATATACTCAAAGTGGATGAAAGACCTAAATGTAAGACAGGAATCCATCAAAATCCTAGAGAACACAGGTAGCAATCTCTGTAACCTTGCCCACAGCAACTTCTTGCTAGACATGTCTCCAAAGGCAAGAGAAACAAAGGCAAAAAGGAGCTATTGAGACTTAAAAGATAAAAAGCTCTTGCACAGCAAAGGACAGTCAACAAAACCAAAAGACAACTGACAGAATAGGAAAAGATATTTGCAAACATCTTTTTTTAATTAAATTTTAAAAATTTTTAGTTAACATATAATGCATTATTAGCCCCAGGGGTACAGGTCTGTGAATCGCCAGGTTTATACACTTCACAGCACTCACCATAGCACACACCCTCCCCAATGTCCATAACCCCACCAACCTCTCCCTACCCCTCTCCCCCTGGCCCCCCTCAGTTTGTTTTGTGACATTGAGAGTGTCTTATGGTTTGTCTCCCTCCCGACCCCATCTTGTTTTATTTATTCTTTTCCTACCCCCCAAATCCCCCACGTTGCATCTCCACGTCCTCATATCAGGGACATCATATGATCTTGACTTATTTCACTAAGCATAATACCCTCTAGTTCCATCCACATTGTCACAAATGGCAAGATTTCATTTCTTTTGATGGCTGCATAGTATTCCATTGTATATATATACCACAGCTTCTTTATCCATTCATCTGTTGATGGACATCCAGGTTCTTTCCATAGTTTGGCTATTGTGGACATTGCTGCTTAAACATTCGGGTGCATGTGCCCCTTCGGATCACTATGTTTGTATCTTTAGGGTAAATACCCAGTAGTGCAATTGCTGGGTCGTAAGGTAGTTCCATTTTCAACTTTTTGAGGAACCTCCATGCTGTTTTCCAGAGTGGTTGCACCAGCTTGCATTCCCACCAACAGTGTAGGAGGGTTTCCCTTTCTCCGCATCCTTGCCAGCATCTGTCATTTCCTGACTTGTTAATTTTAGCCATTCTGACTGGTGTGAGGTGGTATCTCATTGTGGTTTAGATTTGTATTTCCCCGAGATATTTGCAAACATCTTAACAGATAAAGGGCTAGTATCCAAAATCTATAAAGAACTTATCAAACTCAACACCCCAAAACCAAAAAATCTAGTCAAGAAATGGACAGAAAACATGAACAGACATTTGTTCAAAGGAGACATCCAAATGGCCGAAAGCACATGAAAAAATGCTCCATATCACTTGGCATCACAAATGTAGTGATCTGAAAGGGTACCTGCACCCCAATGTTTATAGCAGCAATGTCCACAGTAGCCAAACTATGGAAAGAGCCCAGATGTCCAATGAGAGGTGAATGGATAAAGAAGATGTGGTATATATATAGACAATGGTATATTACTCAACCATCAAAAAATGATATCTTCCTATTTGCAATGATGTGGATGGAACTAGAGAGTAGGATGCTAAGCGAAATAAGTCAATCAGAGAAAGACAATTATATGATCTCATCATATGTGGAATTTAAGAAATAAAACAGGATCTTAGGGGAAGGGAGAGAAAAAATAAAGACAAAAACACAGAGGGAGAAAAACCATAAGAGACTCTAAATCATAGGAAACAAACTGAAGGTTGCTGAGGGGAGGGAGTTGGGGGTGATGGGGGAATTGGGTGATGGACATTAAGGAGGCCATGTGATATAATGAGCCCTGGGTGTTACATAAGACTGATGAATCACTGAACTCTACCTCTGAAACTAATAATACATTATATGTTAATTAATTGAACTTGAATTTTTTAAAAAAGAAACCAATAAATAAATAAAAATAAGAAAAAATAAAAATTTGAAAATTTGAAAAAATGAATGGAAATGAAAGGCAAGGATTTCACTGGAATATGGCTTGCTTATTGTTTTGTCAGGTAGTCTATATTTTACATAAATTCATACAATAACAACATATTGCCTTAAAATACAACATGAGCCTAAGTCGAAATTAATAAACAAGGGTCAAAAGTTTTTAAAATGTCAAATATTAGCAATACCTTAATTTTCTTTTGTCTAGTCTATATATCAATATCGATATAGATATAATTAGTATGCATGATGAAAAAAATGCAAACAATATTAATGATATAACCATTTGGGTAGTTGCTACTTTCATCAGAGTGAATTGTGTAACTCAAATGACTTCATTCTAATTCATTTAAATCTGGAGCTAAGCCCAAACAACTGTGAGAATTTTGGTTTCAGGATGAGTGTGAATACCACAACCTTTAGAATGTTAAGTAAGAATGTGACGAAAGTCTACAGAAGTTAGGGGAAAGCATAGGACCAATTCCCTTATTTTTCATGGAAGAGCCAATTGGTACTTGCACATGATTGATACATAAAATTCAAACAAATGACTCTTAGCCTCCTAACAGTCTCCACTAATCTATTTTTATTAAAATAACAGTCTCCATTAGTCTCTCTTTTTTAACTATGAGAGAAATTCTAGGTCACGTCCTTCACATTGAAGAAATATTTATCTGAAATTCAAAAATTCCATCAATTTTATGTCCATTTCCTACTTCCCCCTCATTGAATCCAGGCTGAGCTAAATTTGTTACACTTCTGAAAGCAATTTTTTTTTTTTAAAGATTTTATTTATTTATTTGACAGAGAGATCACAAGCAGGCAGAGAGGCAGGCAGAGAGAGAGGAGGAAGCAGGCTCCCCTAGAGAGCAGAGAGCCCGATGCGGGGCTCGATCCCAGGACTCCGAGATCATGACCTGAGCCGAAGGCAGTAGCTTAACCCACTGAGCCACCCAGGCGCCCCCTTCTGAAAGCATTTATTGTAAGACTCCTGTTTATAAAACTTTTAAAGTCTGCCCTAACTCATCTTATGTTTAAGATGATGATGGATACTTCTAATTGATGTGATGATTATTTTGACTTTTTTTATACTTTAATATATTTCCTGACCTTTTCAACACATACTAGCCCCCACTTATATATGGGGATTACAGTCCAAAACCCCCCACTGGATGCTTCAAACCACAGATAGTACCTAACCCTATATATTCTATGTTTTTTCCTGTACATACCTGTCTATGATAAAGTCTAAATCAACAATAATAAAATAGAACAATTATGACAATATATTTTGAAGTTATGTGAATGTAGCCTGTCCAAATGTATTTTCCTATACTATTTTTGTGATAATATAAGATAAAATGCCTGTATGATGAGATCAAGTGAGGTGAATGACATAGGCATTGGGATGTAGCCTTATGCTACCACTGACCTTCTGACAATAGGTCAAAATGAGGATCACCTGCTTCCAGACTGCGGTCAAGGTAGAGAGTGCAGAGGTACTACTGTAATGAGTATTTGCATTGTAATTGAAAAAATTTTGAAAATAAGGATCCATTTAGAGGACCTACTCATGAGGTCTATATTTAATGTATTTCAGCCAATAGAAACATATTTTAATAGAAGAATGGATTGAAGGAATCATGGTGAAAATTCTGGGCACTTTATTTCAGTTAACTGATATATATTTTGGTAATAAAATGACTCTGAGAAAACAACTGCAAGACATGTCTTTGAAAAACTGACTCTAGAAGTTTGGTGAATAGATAATCATGCGTACTCCAGTGGACTATTTGAACTTCAAAAGCTATTGGTGCCTGCTTACATTGTTTTAAAATCAGTGATCTCAGTATCATACAGTTGTACAGCTTTCATGGACTTTGTGTGCATCCGTCTTTTCACATCGGGCTGTCACAGGAGCAGGGTCACAGTGACCTCCTGAGTAAATGGATTGCAGTGATTGGACTACCTCCAAGTAGTTAAGATATGGAACAAGGGGAAATCCTTGCTTCTCAGCAAGAAGAATAAGAAGACAGTGAGAAGACTGATCTTACATTCCATTTTTAGGGGAAAAAAAGTGGGGGATGCAGTTTTGAATATAGTCAAATGGAATGGTGGTGAGATGTTTTGACAATCTACTGAGTAGTTAAAAATGAGAATGTGACTTCAGAAATGTGTTTACTATTGCCTAGGACACCAGAAGTAGGACATTATGCTCCAAATGCAATTTTATTTGATGAAGAAATAAACAGTTCCCTATGTATCTTTCAGGGTTTATTTTGTTTCCAAAGTAGAGCATGAATCCTTCTCAATCTTGAAATTGAATGTTTACAATTTAATATACTTAATGGGATTCTCAACATTCTAGCTTTTTTTTAAAATTCCACTTGTGTTCATTTTTAAAGAGACTTTCAAAGTTGTCACTGTTATGCTATTAATTTTGTTTTAACATCTTTCAGAAATAATTGGCAATAAGATCCCTGTAGCCATGGCTAGCTCTGACGTGAAACCAAAATCAATAAGTCGTGCCAAAAAATGGTCAGAAGAGATAGAAAATCTGTACAGATTTCAGCAAGCAGGATATCGGGATGAAATTGAATATAAACAAGTGAAACAAGTTTCTATGGTAAGATGTGTCTACAAACCTGAACTCAAAATATTCAGTGAAAAGTATCAAAATCAAACAAAGAACCAGAGAATAACTAAAAGGAAGCTCTACTCCAATTCTCTCATTTTATTGATGAGGAGATTGAGGCCCAGAGGAGTGGCTTTCAGGTAAACTGGATAGAGGTGGTCCCTCAGCATGGAAACCTTAAGAACTTTCTAACTTTTATTTAATAACCATGCTCTACCAGATAAAAGGTTGATGATCACCACAAAAGCAGAGTCTTTTTCCCTTACTCATGTAATTCTATTGCCAGATACTCAGTTTGTTGTGTACCTATTAACTTTTTCCAGTTTCTTTTTTTATCCTGAATTATAAAGCGGTTAGATTTTGCTTATTATGGAGATTATAAGTGACAGAAAACTATTAAAGAGCCCCTGACTTTGGTTGTGCATTACACTCTCATGCCCAATAATGTGACTGATGTAAAATCAGATTTAAGACAACACAAAGAACCTCCTTGAAGGGGAAGTCCCACAAAGTGAGAGGAGTGTGTGTGTGTGTGTGTGTGTGTGTGTGTGTGTGTGTGATATAGGGAAGAACAAGCTTATTCACTGTATGACTTGGTGATTTTGAAGAGGTCTTTGCATTTCACTTCAGTATATACTAATTGGGTATAAACTGTAAAGAAGGAGAAAATTCTCCCTTGTTCTTTTGGCTGGTCTAACAATCAAATTGACCCATGACAGATTAATAGGAGAAAAAACAAATTTAATCCACTTTCATACATATGAGAGCCCCAAATATATTAGACCCAAGAAGTGACCAAAGCAGGCCACTAATATACCTTTTAGACAAAGAAATAAGAAATGTGTGAAGAACTGACAAGACAAAGTGACTTGGGCTTGAGGACTAATTAGTGGGGAAATGAAGCAGAGTTTATTTACACAGCCCTCTTGGCTCTGAATTCTCTGTCTCTGGTGAAGGATGTCTGTCTACCTCCAGGTGCAGGGAGGGTGCCTTTCACAGGGGGGTGGGGATTTCTTTCCTGCTTTCAGGGGTACAGAGAGGAGGGTCAGAGTCTTTATGCTCTAGTTTCTCAAGTAACTTTAACTAGAAACCATCAGTATGCCAAAGTGCCATGTTCTGGGGCAGCGTGCCCTCAACCCTGTCATTACCATGTGCATATTCCGTGCCAAATGTTTAGGAGATAAAAATATGAGTAACTGACCTCAAGAAACTGACTGGGCCAGTAGGAAGAGAACCAGATTTGGAATCTCTCCAGGGTCTGAATCCTGGTTCCTCTCCCTCATTAGTCGAGCAATCCTGAACAAGGTTCTTAACTTGGTGAGCTCAACGGTTGAATTGTAATGGCAGTGCCTGCTTTAGAAAATAGTTACAGGAATTAAATGAAATCATGTGCTTGAAGTGTCCCAACACTGTAGTGCTTAATGATTTGTTGAGTGAATGAAGGATAAGTGTTTAATGATTGATAGCTTTTATTATCTTGGAATAGAAGATTAATAATGACATGAACAGTAAAAATTTATGCAAGTCAAAATACGTGTGCCTTTTTAAATGATGCGGGAATTTAGGGAAAGACAAAATCACTTCCTCTGGGGGACAGTCCTCCAAAAGGGCTTCATGCCCCCCAGAGACATTTGCAGAGGGCCTTGAAGGTAGGCGAGGATGGTAACTAAACACTTGCCTTGATTGGTATATCTTAGAGGTGGGAAGGGTTTGATTAATTTTTCCTCACCTGAAGCGTATGTCCATTTGGAACATAGGAGCTATTGAAGCTTACTGACCTCTGTGGCTGGTCTTGAGGACCAAACCACTCCACTCTGTTCTACTGAAAGGAGTGAAGCTTTCCTCCATTGAATGGGAGTCCTCAAGTGAAAAGCTAAGAAGAAAAAGTTGTAAAATACAAAGGCTATTATTTAAAATGACTAAGGGTTGATGAGCATAGGAACCAATATAGCTCCTTGGAGGGTACTTCTTCACTGCATGAGATGCTGTTTAGGACCCTAGTAAATGAAAGAGAGCTTGCTCCTGGCCCCAAGAAGAAGAGAGCTATAATGGTGTCTTGAGAACATCCTCCTTTCTCTGCTGGGGGCAATGGAAGCTATGAAAGAAAAACTTGACCTAAGTGACAGGAACCATTGATTTTTTTTTTCTTATACTGTATATATCAGAGAGCCTGCCAAGGTTTATCCAATATGTTTCTACCTATTTTCATCAATTCTTAAATAAATGAGACAACATAAAAAATGAAAACGTGCTGTTAGAAAACAAAGGCCACGTATTCCTTTGTATTCATGATCTATTCCTATCCCAGTGGAAAGTTGTGATTTATGGATGGGGCATATGAGAAGTGACAAGCTGCCTGTAGAGGTGGTGGTGAAGATTTGATTATCTAGACCATGATACCTGAGTGATCAGGTTTTGACAATGATAGAGTAGATCTTACAGAATCCAGAAGAAATATACCAAACAACAAGAGAAGTGCATTGACCTGATCAAGAAAGTAAAACATGAATTTGGAGAGGAAAGGGAGAAAAATGTCTAAACTAGGTCAAGCCAAATGATAAAGTAAACAAACCAATATGATGTATGAGAAAGAATAGTGGGGAAAAGGTAAGAAAAGATAGTGGAGATTTAGATTCATGACCTCAAATTTCTATTAAAAATTGGATTTCAAGGGACACCTGGTTGGCTCAGTTGGTGGATCATGAGACTCTTGATCTCAGGGTTGTAAGTTCCAACCCCATGGTGTGTGTAGAGATTGCTTAAAAAGTAAAATCTTTTTTAAAAAATTGGTTTTCAAGTTGAACTTGTGATATGGACTTGAGGACTGCATATGCACCTTTAGGTATCTCAAGTCTAGCTGGTTCCATTTGTCACTGCTGTGACATCAATTCTCAGAACCCAAGTGCTTTCAGAGTGGGGCCTGAGTCTAATCTCCTCCTAGGACATTACTTTTAGATATTAGAAAGTAATAATGTTTGAAATAATTTGTAAATATAAGAAAATGCTTAGAGTGTTTTGAATGTTTCCTCTATCTTGGCCACCGAGGAGAAATTTAAATCTAGAAATTGGGATCTAGAGAGAAGAACCAACTTAGCTATTTTACAGTATAAGGGTACAACTTAGGGTGTGTTTGAGGTGTGTATAATACTCTCTTGAGAGCTCAAGTATTTTTAGATTTAATTTTATGCTTTAATTTTTGGATGTGAGATATACTGTTAACTATTTGATAATAAATTATTATATAAAAATAAAACCAGCATCATAGTATTTGTATTCTGGTTTCTGATGTGCAGGTAGATCGTTGGCCAGAGACGGGATACGTGAAGAAACTCCAGAGAAGGGACAATACTTTCTATTACTACAACAAACAGAGGGAGTGTGACGACAAGGAAGTCCACAAAGTCAAAATTTATGCTTACTAGCTTTCGTTCTTTGTGTTGTCATCATCTAAGACTTCATTGCTTCATTCTACATCATGTAAATGTCATTTTACAAAATAATTCAAAATGCAGACCTCAGTTGAATGTTTTGAAACACAAAAGCTATGAAACCTGGTATCAATCAGCCTGTTCTATTCTAAAATATAATTACAGAAGCATTAAAGTTGTACCCGTCTTGGTCCTGTTCTTCTGATTATTTTAACCAAGGTAGAGTAACCATGATGCACAGTAAGAGACAACCCAATTTGAAACCATCCCAGTGGTTAGGCTAGTTGTTTACAGGTTAGTGCTCCGTACCCCTGCCCCTGCCCCTGCCCCCAGACTTTACAACTTTCCAAGACCACCATTTTGAACTGTCAGATCTGCCTCTTGTAGCCCTAGGGCTTTCTCTTGCCTCTTTTTCTAGAGGCTTTGCCTTTGCCTCTTGCTGAGTAGACTGGAAATGCCAAGGGCTGCCAGCCCCTAGGAGCTGTCCTCAACCAACGACTGCTGGGGAGGGGTGTTCAAAAGCCCCAGCCGCCTGGTGCCTCCGAGGAATCCATCAGAGGTGTGTGGCGCCCAGTTTCCCAGCAGGGTGAAGCTTCAGTCGCCTGCAGCGGTGTCTGGCCGCATCACATAGACCACTGGCTGTCTCCCTCCCTCGCCACTCCCCCACTCCAGGCCAGGGGTTCCCTTCCTCCTGCATCAGCGCCTTGTACGTGGAGCCTTGTCCCAGGGTTGGCTTCTGGGTTTCCAATCTAGACAGTTCCTATTCCAGTGCCGCCTGGAATCACTGCAGAAAGGGTCTGAGTGCTAATGAGCAAGGCAATAATTAACCTGTAAGACACACGACGTCCCCAAAATTCATGAGTCTTGAGTGCTTTGAGGTTAAATAGATGAAAAACACCCTTTCTGGCAGCATCTCTTTCTGCCCATGGGTCCTGTCCTCGTGTTTTAATAAAATCACCTTTTTGCATCGGGAAAAAAAAAGAAAAAGC